TCTTGATATATTAGTACGTACAATTGAGTACACCTATTTCATTTCTGTCATGCTGCATGTCTTGGAAAATCAGTGAGGTGGTAAGCATTCAATGCTATTCCGAACTGACTTGGAATGAGTTTTTCCCCCAAAATTCTGCCTGCTAATTCAATTCGCTTGATCACAAGTTTATCACTCTATTTAAAAGGGTGTCATTTGGTCAAAGAACGTCAAAACGTTGAGCTGACACGCTGAATAACTAGTGAATTAAAATGTCCGTCTTTCATATTTGAAAAACGTCGAAGAAAATTCAATTCGCAGCCTCCGACACTCCAAAATTGCTTTAACAGATTACGTTTCCGCTTTCGGGAAGGCTTTGTTTTGATTTAAGTTTATAATTTCCAAGCAGAATAAGAGAACTTCTCTAAAACCGGGATTTTTCGAGTGAAATACTATTGTATGAATTGGTACAAAAATCTCGACTCCCCACTAAATTCGGCTAAAAACCGGGGCTGAAAACCAACTTGCTTAGGGATGAATATAGAAGGATTGGCAAGGTTTCATAGCAACAAGTCAACAAATTAAGGGATTAATCTACCCCGATGCTAAAGATTGCTACTTCAATTCCTTTAAACATTCATCGAATTCGAGCCAGTCTCACTACAATATATATATAAGTAAACTGTTCTTCAAATAGTATAATGTGTTTTAATCTCAGAAATATAAAAAGTTCAGGATTTTTGGCCTACGTGACCATGTGGTCAGTTTGGCAGCAATGTGTTGACAAGACATGTTTTGGAAGCAGGCAGATCTGAATTTTTTCTTACGCAATCAATCGGTTGTTCAGTCTCGAAAACATTTAGTTCAAAATCTTACCTTGGTTTCTTGCAGAGGTCTCGCTTCCGGAAAATTGAAACAACAAAGCGATCCATATCAAGGGGAACAGATCCGGGGAATATTTCTCATATCAACTGACATGTGCACGCGCGAAGGGAATACCGATTGTCCGAAACGGATATTTCGTGATTTCGTCGACGGCTTGATCGGAAGGGCGGGGGTGTTTATTTGCAAAAAAAGCATGTCAATTAGTTAAAACCGTATGTAGCAATTTGAATAGAGATTACTAAGAAGGGACCCTTGATATTGTTAGCTTGAAATGTTTTGAATATTGAGCTAAGAGGACAGAAAACAGACGGTGTTAACAAACAAGTTGCATGAAAATGAGTTTTTTTTACTTTTTGCGTGAAAAAGTACAAAAAGCTCCTTGTTGCCCAGACTTGTCTTTCCTCAAGGGTTAACATTTGTGGATCATACAATATTAAGTTTCCTTCAATCCCCCAGTTTAAGTGTCAATAACTCTTAAATCCTTTATTTCTTTAGTTCCAAATTGTATTAAAAGGGCACTATGTTGCATTTTCAATGGATCGCTCGAATTAATGGGGAAAGCTGCATTTTATACCAGTCAAATATGTGGTTTGTACACCACATTACAGCTTTAAGAAAGCGTTCGTTATGTTTCCATATAGACATTTATTTTTACAGGAGAGGAATTTGATGAAGATAAACAAGGCTTGTCCAAATGATTAATTTACAGACATCGTGACTATAATCTTGAGATTAATTCATTTACTCTTTTCACTTCTTGTTGATATGAGGCTTGTAAATGATCATTTAGGCTTTTTCAATAGTGCCAAGTATATTACAGTCTTAAGTCTGTTGTATGGAGAAACTTCTCAAAAATGCACCAAACGTCTAATAGTAAATTAAACCTCATAAGTACATCGTGAATTTGTTTAAATTAAATATCGATCGTATGACCTTGTATTGTTCGTGCAAAAATTCAGTCTGTGGTTTCTTGATATCACCCTCAACCCTGCGGCAACTGTGTAACTCCATTTCGATTCATCTAATTGCAAAAACAAACTCTTAAATGACAATTTATATTCTATGAATTATTTGTTCAAAAGACTTTGACGCGAGCCGGGGCAAACCAGCGCAAACAGGCACGCGAACAGTCTAATAACAAATTATAACTGATTTTGATATGTAATTAATTAACCTAGCGACCATTAGAAACATATGCTTTCTTAAAGTCAGGAATCAGCCTGCCTCAGGAATAATATCTTTTTATAAATACAAAGACATTATTATTCTGGTGGAATAACACAACTTTCCATTGATCTTTCTGGGTTTTAAGGGGAGAGTATCGGTGAACAATCTCTTTTCGTACATCAATTTTTTTATTACTGTAACATGGATAAGTATTGTTCAACATTTAGACTGCATAGAAAGGTTCCTGTCGGGGTAAACCAAGAATTTTTCAGTGTTTTAGATATAAAGTGTGTCGTAACCATTTTTAATATAGGGGAATGGTTATGAAACTCGACAAAGTTCTTTGTTGTACGTTTTTGTTCTCTTTTTTGGCCTTGACCGTGCACAAAACACAATAGTTGTTTACTACTGACCGAGGAACTAACCAATGGAAACGTTTTGATTACGTAACTTATGCATAATGTATGAACGCAAAACAAAAGATTGTGCACGGTCGTGGACCTTCCAACATAAGTCTTGGCATCTTTGCTTGCTCCTTTGATGTTTGCCTGGCTTCGTAAGCATTCTCCTCTATTAACTATGGTCGCAACTATACACTTATTGATAATTTGATCGTTGATTTGCTGCAGTAATCCCTATAAATCTTGTTGATTCAACTTCCCTAATCTCTTTATTGTTTGCTTTTATCCTTAATTCTTCGGTTTTTCTACTTCTTCGTTTTCGTTTTAAATTCGTTTTGGCTCTAATCGCGAGTATACAAAATGTCTCATTCGGGTAGTTTTGACATCTTTGTGAGAGTAACCACATGTAACATCGTCTGCAAAAAGAATAAGTCATACGATGTCAGAATTTCACCTTTAAAGAAGATTATATTCAAGAATGGGCCTAAAGCCTATTAAAGCAACCACGTTAAAATATTGCGTTCCAACCACTAACGACGTTTTAGTCATCTCCTGATTTTATCAGGCATTTTAACTCACATCGGCTCACAACTGCATAAATTTCTTCTAATTTGAGCATTTGATCAGTTGAGTTAAGAAAAAAACCGTGACTTGTTTCAATCACACTTAGCAAACCATCCTTACAACATTTCGTTTATAATTATATTAATGGCGAGATTTTCTATAACAATAACAAAGGGTTGGCCTTTAGCTTTGAGGGCGAGTATTCTTACAATAGGGTCTTTGATAATATTATAGAATCGCAATGAAAGATTGGGAAATTCACTTAAAACTTAAATTTGCTTAAATGGAGCACTGAAGCAATGAATCGAAAGAGATAGACTTCAGTCACAAGGTGAGGCTTCCACGTTGTGTTCGGCGTTTTAAATGGGTTTGTGGTTCAGTGATTGGTTTGCATTTAATTGTAGCTCATTGTATCCAGTTGCATCTCTCCCTCAACAAGCAGGAAAGATTGTGCTCCAGTATAGTTTCTATACACTAAATACTGAGACATTTCTAAGCCACATACACTTACCTTTTAACCAATATGTATCATTAAGTCGCAACCACAGACTCAGAGCTATACATAGCTTTGTAAATGAGACTCAACTGAGGAACCCATCTCAATGCACATGAACTCGTCGTTAGATGGAGCACCAGCAAGCTGCTTAAGCACGGGCTACTTAGGTACATTTCAAGAGATAATCGAGTCGACGAGAGGCTTGCCAGGACAGAAGCCAAGACCAAAACCGCAATCTTTTATAAAAAGCATTTTTCTACGAGAGAAAATTGGAGCAATGGCCTTATCAGTTAGAAAGATTAAAAGAAAACGAATTGATGAAGTGGCAAAAATGTCCCACGCAAAGATCGAGTGGCTGGCGTCAAAATGGGGCACTAGCTCTGAACTCTGTCAATACAAGAATCTTGCGATGAAAAGGAAACGAGAGGTCGATTGAAATCATATGTGAAAAAGGCACTGATTAACCAATGTGAATAAGCCATGAAGAAAAGAAGAAAAAATTACCATTATTATATTATTTGCATAAAAGTTGTTGCTTTGTGAAGAAACACTGTCACGTGCCCATTTTAAATCTCGTTTTAACCACCCGAAGTCTTGACACAAACGCTCAAAATTGTATAGCTGTGAGAACAGCCGTTCAAGACAGCCAGATTGTGGTATCTGAAGTAATGAAAGATAAAATAACTTCTTTCATTAGGCAGATGACTTTATGGTAGTTGGATGTTTCTTTAGCTGCAGGAATATGTTTTGATCCCACGTTTGCTTTCCTTGGTGATAACATATAAATTGCATTCTGTTGTGTATATCAATTAGATGGCAGTTTAGATTTATAAGTAACTTTTTCGAAGCAGAAGAAGCCATATTTAACTGTTGTGCAATACGTATTGATATCTTACCCGACAGACATGAGAGAGAAGCGTGTTGAAAACTCAAGTTTTTCTGGGAGGAGTTGTGTATGACAAAATCCATCTGTGCCTTTTAACCCGTGCCTCTGTTCTCCAGGATTGATTGTTAACAAAAATGTGTCAGGGTTTCTGTTGACTAGACACTAATTAAATTGTGAATTTTACGATCCTTTTCAATGCTGACTTTTCGCTTAACCTTTTCCACTATTCTTGCTAATTTTAAACCATAGCTCCAGTTGGTCCCTTGTTGTTTCCGTCTTTTTCTTGTTAGTCTGCTTTGTTCGTGATACTCATCTTTTCAAAGATTATAGCGAATGGGAAAGGATATCTTTCAGACATTATAACTCACTGACATTTTATGTTTCACAACAAGTTTCAACGTTCTTGTTTTCTCGGTCACAGATTTCGGACATACCGGACGATAGACACGATGTAAGTAGCTTATTCAAGAATTGAACTCCCCCCGGTTGCGTTTACCATTTCTAGTTTGGAGCGAGGAAGCATTTCTTCGGTCAGGTTTGAGGATTGCGACAAAGAGACAGAACTCAGCAAAGAAAGAGAACCTAACAAAGCGCCGAAGGAACGTAGTAAAGCGCCGAGACAACCCAACAAATCGACAGAACCCAACAAAGCGACAGAACCCAGTAAAGAAAGAGAACCCAACAAAACGCCGAAGGAACGTAGTAAAGCGCCGAGACCGCCCAACAAATCGACAGAACCCAACAAACGCTGAGAAAACCCAACAAAGCGACTGAACTCAGGGTGCGTTCCTTTGGGATGATCTGGATCAGGATCAATGATCCAAGATCATTCGGATCATGGTGCATCAAAGGAACCGATGAATCCGTGACCAGAGTGGATTCGGCGGTTCCTTTGATGTACCATGATCCGAGTGATCTTGGATCACTGATCCGGATCCGGATCACCCCAAAGGAACGCACTCTCATTAAAGAAAGAGAACCCAACAAAGCGTCCAAACCTAGCAAAGCGTTAGAAGTCGGAACAAAGCAACAGAACACAACAAAGGGACAAAATACAACTTCACATCGCGGAAAGACAAATCCCTACAAAACGAGTATGTAGATTCCAACAAAATGACCAAAACCAACGATATACTCGCAAAACTGAAGTGATCTGAACCCAAGAAGTTACGTTGAACCAGTATTTTTCTATCAGTACAGTGCTAGGTACAGTTAACATTCTTTTAAATAAAGTAACTGAACCGATCTCAATCTGGATTTAAACAGAGCAGGAGCCGTTGGATAGTGATACAGAAACTAGTCTTTCACCGCTGGCTGAGTATCTTTTAACGGAAAAGAATAGATGAAGTTGTTTTGATCACAGGATTTGGTAGGGCATTTTGACTTTGTAACATACTACTGAGAAATTAAACAATGGGGAATCTTGAAACAAAAACCTTACTCTAGTCATCTAAAACTTTTTTTCATTTTTCTGTGTTCTCATTTTTCATTCCACTCTATACAAGTGGCTTAATGACCTTACTGTCTTCCACTCAATTTCAAGATGGGGTCTTTTCTCCATATCAAAGATTAAAATGGATTCACCAAGAACATACTTAGAAAAACGATCTTCAACTTTCACATCCTATTCAATGGCCCAATATTTTCCATTTTCATTTTCAGCCTGTTTGGCACTGTTATACGTGGTGTTCCCACTACACTTTATCTATAGTAAATACCGTTGTTTTTTTGCTATTTTTCATTTCAACTTTTGAAATTGAAAACGACATCTGGTACATTGGTTGTAACAGTTTTCAGGGGCACAAACAAATGTCTCCACATCCGTCGATTAATTCATTGTGATTTGCGCTCTTGGGGGTAAAGTACTCTTGAGAAAAAATCTGGAAATTAAATATTTTACACCGATTTTGAACAGACATCATCGTGTCTCAGATCAAAAGCTGTTTTCATTAAGGATTGAATTTGCTAGTTCAATCAATGTCAGACCTCGGACCTGGGACCCCAGTGTATGAATTCGTTTGCATTATAATACCTTCCTTCCCATACGCTTCCTTCCTAATTTTGCTTCATCTGCCGGAGATAATTGCTTATTCATGGATTGTACACCGATATCTCACCTTGTCGACCTGCTGAGGTATTTCGCGAGTGAATAAAGGGCTTGTCCCTCGATTATTTTTATCTTAGAGGTTTTATACCGTCGATATCTTCCCAATCTTATAAGAACCTATCCTTTAGTACATTTCACCGCCCCGTGTTAAGGGTCTATCAAACAATCGCCCCAAAATGCCAGAGATATTTTCAGCTGTTTTCGGTTGGTGGTATTTTCGCTTTCCACACTGGCGTGGTTTACCAGATGAAAATAAAGTCGGCTACAATTGTTTCTCTTTGTTTCAAAAGGGATCAACAGCAAACAAGATTCGTACAAAGACAATCTACTCATACGGGAGTCTGTATATACCAGTCAATAAATCAATTATTTCTATTTCTAGAAAGATAACATTTTCATTTTGAAGGGTGTGTAAGTTTATATCAAGAAAGATCATCACTGATCGGTCCGGCGTGCTTTCTTGTTTTTAAAATATTGACATATTCTTATCAAAACAAGTTGATTGAGAAACACCTTACAACACCCATTTATTGCGTGCGAGCGCATTTGTGTAAGGTTTTCTTTCAATGCCACCCTGCAATTTTGAGATTTTGAAGAAGAAATGCTTGCTCTCTTAAAACTGAGTAAATGAGTGCAAGGAAATCATTGTTAATGTGAAACGCTTATAAAACCATTACGGTTCGTCTAAATCCAATAAGATTTTCACGAAACGGAAGTTTGAATTATAAATCTTTTCTTTTGGTTAAGAACACTTGACAGCGGGTGTTACAGTACAAAACCTTTTATCATGAAATACGTAAATACTATTTCATTCACGTCAATGGAACTATTTTTACCTTATCGGTAGGCCGGAAAACAAAGAATAGTTTGTGAAGATTGAGCCGCGCATTTCCTCTTTTAGACTACGTTTACAGCGGGAAGGGTCTAAAATTAGCCACGAAAATTAGGGAGAGGAAAATTTCTAGAGCTCGAGGGTGCAATTTGTTTACCAAGCTACAAGATTGTTTTAAACAGGAAAGAAATAAACATACGGTAGGCGAAATACGAACTACTCAATTCAGCAGAACAATCTTTGGAATAGAGAAGAGACAATGAAAGATTCAAGCACTGAATTTTCTAAGGGTTAGGTTTTGAAAACTGTGATGACAAAATGGCTAAAAGTTTCAAACTTTCATTTCTCTCAGAATCTGCGTTTCGATCTTCCATGTCCTGGGCATTACCTCGAATTATGAACAAGCGCTTTAGTAACTGAGAAAATTTCTTAATTTGTGCGGCATCTTAAGGATTTTAAATCTTAACCACATCAAAACAAATAAAATCAGAATATAGTCCTAATAAAAGAAGTGAAAATAAAGACCATCTCCCTGTCCCATTTTTGAGTTTCCTGTCGCGGCGTTTTATCTACGAGATGCCGTTTTCCAGCGCAATTGCACGTGGACATTTATTTACGGAAATCTTGTTTTTTTTTTCCTGGCATTTACGACACGATAATACACTTAGATTGAAACTGGAAGCTTGGGTAACCAATCGAAATAGTTCAAGTGCCCCGCACCGCCTGGGATTAACTGGAGTTTATCTTTCTTGCGGCTTTCCAATAATCTTTGGAAACTTCGTTGTCCCGCCTTTGATCATGGCCCTATGTAAACGAGTTGCTTTGTATAACACCCATCCCCCTCTTCCTGAAGTCATCAAATTTCGAACAAAATATACAACATATCTTGTGAAAACCCACAAAAGACAAATAACTTCTTGAATAAAAACATCTGCTTCAGGGCATTGCCGGTTCCGCATCATTAGGTGACTAGGAGCATTTCTACTCCTTCCTTCTGGATAGAGTGGCAGTCTATCATAGGGTGACCTTCCCCGCTCCCCGCATTAAATCTACCGGTATCCATTTAAATACTTGGGTCGAGCCGGCGGAGCACTGTGAGAGTAAAGTGTCTTGCCCAAGAACACGACACAATGGCCCAAACCTGTAGTCCAACTCAAATGGGCCACCGCGCCACTAAATTCTTAAACATTGTGACTATGGTTACAGTAACTTTCACACTACCCACAAGATCGACAGAAAAGGGTTTTCCTCAACAAAGCTAACATTGAAAAATAGACTATCAGTCCAAAAATCAAATCACCACCATGCGCTGAAGAGTGTAAAAGGCCCTTTACAGCAAGGAGGCTAAAAGTGTGACCGCTATTAATTTATTCACATTCTCGTACTATCCAATCAGAAACCAAGAAAAGCCATCTTCGGCCTCTGATTGGATAGTCTTAATACATTAAAGAATGTGAATTAATCATGTAAAAAAAATGTTCACACTTCTGGGCTCCTTGCTCTAAAACATTCTCAAGCAATCTTAGCACCAAAGGGCTTTTAAGTCTCTCATGAGAGTAATAAAGAAAAATATATTTCTCTCGCAAACAGGTGAAGAGTCGAAACAAGGCATTGAAGTAGACAAAATTCTCACCACGGACAAATGAGAGAAAAGTCGACAATTTCCATGCCAGCAGTTACCTTACATTCCGCAGGTAACAACTTCAATTCAACATATAATTCTCTTTATAAACTAAATAAATTGTCGCAAGTCGCCTTTGCGAATATTAATTAAAGCAAATTGTTTTGGTTTGTCACAAATTCTCCTAACTGACATTAATAAAGAAAGTATAACAGTTGGTTAGGAGAATTAACATTTTGAGAAGAATAATCAAGAGTACATTCACCCTGCAGCTGCTTCTAGGGATACAAATATTAAGAAGAATTCATTCCGAAACAAATGTCTTGGTAAATTAGCCTTGAAGGCAACAATCCCCACCCTGTCATGTGCGTAAATATTGCCTGTTTTACTTAACTTGATTAGCTTTCAGCTACAGTGAATAATCATATCTGGCACTAAATAAATTAGGCCTGTCCACACTCGCCAGAGGAATTTGAAAACGGAGGTTTAACTCTGAAAACACATCACATGCTTTCCGTCCACACTACGCCGGAGAAATTTAAAAACGCCATAATCACCGGTCATTTTGATTTCTGTTTGAGAAAAACTCGGTCAGGGGAATCACATGGTTATCGTGACACCATTATTTTCGAAACTCTGCGTTTTCAAAATGTTTTCCATCCACACGAAAACGAAACGTCGACGTTGAAAAATTCCGTCAGTTTGAAGGGCGTTTTTTGAAAAGCTCCGTTTTCGTGACGGATTGGTATTGACGACACGCCTAATCGTAGAAATAAAGCTACGTCTTCAAATTTCTCCGCCGTAGTGTGGACTGTGCTAGCTCATTCATTAGTTCGTTCGTTCATCCATTTATTCATTGTGGTAAAGTTTCCCTTATTAAACAGATTAAGTTATGCGAAGCATGCAACGCACCTCTTTTAATAGGATCTTTTCACATGACATCCATGCTCCTGGTCAAAGGGTCTGGATTAAAATACCCAATTAAACATGCTTTGCCTGATAATTGTTTCTGGAAACATTGGTGCTTTAGCGTCTCCGTTTTCCTATAATATCGATGTTTGAGGCTCAGCTAAATTATCGGTAATGAGAACTTTGGGTAAGGTTTGGGTCCGCATTTTTTTTGACAGGGATGTTGTTAGGTTTTCTGCTTTCCTTCCCCCCTCACCCCGCATCACGTTTTTTGTCCACACTACACCGGACACCAGCAATTATCGGTCATTTTGGATTTGTGTTTGAGGAAAACTTAGACAGGGAAATCACATGATTATCGTAACGCTATCGTTTCCGAAAAGCTCCGTTTTCAAAATGTTTTCCGTCTACACGAATACGAAAAGCTGGCGGTTTCAAATTTCTCCCGTTTGAAGAGCGTTTTCAAAAAGCTCCGTTTTCGTGACGTATTAGTGTAGAATACGAGTAGTCCCTCTTTCACTTAGTTCGTCGTGTGTGACGTGAAAGAAAATCGTGAGAAAAAAATGGCCGCGCGAACTCCCTGCGAACTCCTTTCGCGCGCGTCCCACCCCCAGGATTTCACGCGGCCACTTTTTTTCGCGGTTTATTTACGTCTCGCTCGACGGACTAAGCGAAAGAGGGACTACTCGTAGTCTAGATTAGGGTGGACGGTAGAACTAACCGCATAAATAAAGCTGCGATTTAAAATAATTCCGGAGTGTGCCTCATACAGTAAATGTCAAATATAATGTAAATGAAGTGTATGTTGCTTGCCACAATTTATACAATCTATGTCAGTTAATTGACTCTCAGGAATTAAAGACACATAATCCAGCAAGTCATCTTTGGTCCCATTCTTTTGTACTCTTTCTACAAAATTAAGTGACCTATTTTCAGCACAACTGACAAAGTGACATGGCACTGAAAACGTTTACCCTATCTACAGCTATCACACATCAAGAAATAACTCTTATAATTGCTGTTAGCGCGAAGGACGAATGACGCTTGGTAATTTTTTTTAACATCCTGGGCTGCCACGCCTAGCTGGAAGCCTTGTATTGGTACCAGTCCTTGTTGCTGGCAACCTCTTCTTGGTACCAGTCCTACACTGTTATAAACAGTTCTCAATAAATCCCCGTATCTCATCAATAATTACAGTTCTCTGAGAGGGTTTTTCAATTCCACACTGAAAGTTCTCTATCGGCTCGTGCTCAGTACTGTCGATTGAGAGATATTCTATAGACTATGAATCATTAGAGCAGTTTTCAAATGATGTTTTAGAGACGAGAAAGAAAGAAAAATCAGTGCTTGCAGTATGTTATATACCCGCTTAAAACAAAGATTCCTCTTCAGCCAACCATAATCAATGGTTACTTTGTAAACCCCGCGCTTAACACGGATTCCATATTTCCAGCGTACGCCACCAGTTTGCGAGTCTTCCCGCCATTACGTGCCACCACTTCTTCGTTTGCCTGCGCTTGTTCCTGGCCCATACTTCCCACTTTTGCACCAGTTAGACGTCTTCCTGTGCTTGCCATTGGTTACAAGTTGTGATCAGTTTATCTCCTTACTTGTGGCTGCAGGTATTGATCAGTTTGCGACAGTTGATACAGAATTAAACTGCTATAAACGAGCGAAATAGAGGCATACCTGTCGAAGTTAATCACCTTTTTCGTAAGGAAAAAAACTACAGCCTAACTAATCAGTTATAAGACAATTCTCGTAAGAACAATTGAATTGCCCTTTTCAAACATGAATTCTCAGTACAGATCTTTGTGCAGTTTGTGCCATTTTTCAATGTGTCTGCTCGGTGATTCAATCATTGACTTCCACTGCTCCTGCCCAGAATCAAACGAATCAAATCCAAGAATAACCGTTCCCAATCCCCCACCGCCAACGTTGATCTCGGAATGATTGACAATCTTGAGCACTACGGTAGTAAGAGATATCTGGTCAGCGGACACATTGAAGTTGAACTTTTCATTGAACACCGGATTAAGGCTGCGTCTTTTGACACGTGTGTTGGCTTTGGATAAGCGGACGCCATCACAGTACAGGGCGAGCTTAACGTAAGGGTCTGCAGAAGGAAAAGCATTCAAAGTTAAGTTGGCTCTCACTTATTGCACAACCATACCAACTTTTCCTATGAACATTGGCACTGGATTGTAAAATGGAGAAAGTCTGCAATTCGTTATCGATCGTTATGTGACTTGTATTTTTCACCATTTATTGATTGGGGAGTTATAAGTTATCTTATTCTACATGTAGTTTTACTTTTATTTTTATTCTGTTTTTGCTTTTTGAAATCAATGCCTTCGTAGGTGCCCGCAGTAACTTACCTGTGCGGTCAGCCGTTGCCTTTGGTAAGCCGCGAATCTTCGTGACTGTTACAATGAGTCGGCCGCTGATTGGTCGAAAGCATAAAGAAACACAAAGCTCTCCAAGGTCGTCTGCCTCCATCTTGAAATTTAAGAGAATAAAGATGTGGGTTTGTGAGATTAATATCAAATTTAAGAAATGATTTCCGACGAAAAATTTTGAGAAAAAAAAAAAAAAAAAAANAAGAGCAATCTCTGTTTTTCTGTAAAGATCTACGAACGAGAGGCAACAGGCAATTAACAGAAAAAGCTGACTACGGTAAAACAAGACGGAACACAAGGAAACCGACTCGTCCCCAGTTTTTGCACGGCCGAATTTCTTCGGCTGGCAGTCTTAGTGTGAATGTCACCGATAAATCATCCCCTTATTGAACAAAACTTAAATTGAAACGGACGAAGATAAGTTTTGACAATAATTTGATAAACAAAGCGTAACTGAAATGGCCACAAGACAGTTTCTTCCTAATAGTTCGCATACCCAAAAGGATAGAGAAGCATTGAGAGGTAAGCCTCTGCCCTTCCCTCGACCGTCCTTTCTCAACATTTTGAGCCTTGCATTCTCAGACCCTTGCTGCAGTGTGATCTAGTCAACTTACCCCGTAGGGATGCGGAGGTGCAAGATACAGCCATTTGGTGATTGAGAACGAGGCTCTGTTTTCCATCAACTTCAACTCTGACAAGGGGAAAAGGATCTCTCCTATGACGTCATCACCATAACGGTCTTTCAATTTGTCGTGAAAATTCACCACCCTGAACTTAAGCTCGTATTCTTTGATTCTGTCTTTTGAGAAACCTGAGATGACAAATGTCTCGTTAAAAACAGGGTCTGGTGTTCCTTCGATGATCTTGGTGCGTTGCCAACAGTATTGCTGCGGGAGCAGGGATATCTTCACCAAAGGGTTGATACCTTCCTTATTGTCAGCTATGGGAAGATCGACCGCTTTTATGATGTTCACTTGCAGTTCTGTCTTAGCGACATTGTAGTGAAGCGCGAAACGAATCTTTCCAAGTTTGCCATCTGTATTGTCAGGCGAAGGTGTTCTGTCTTCACCTATGAAGCCAACTTCATTTAAGTTTATCTCCCTTGAATTGCTTTCTGGTAAATCTAATCTCTTCTTTTCAGGCGTCGCTGGAATATTAGCGCCAGAATTTGCTTTCTTTCTTTTCGCAGGGCTGTTTTCATCCCCAGAAACGCCAGAATCCTTGTCTTGTGTAAAACTTTTCTCTTCTCTGTCGACCTCCTCTTCAGTCTTATCCAAATTATCCTCAAGTGACGCATGCGTACTAGAGTTAGAGTCTTCAACATCCGGGGCACTCACTGGAGATTTCTCACGTGACCTGCTATCTGTCTCTTCCCCGGATAGGGAGCTTTCGTCAATGTAGGTTTTTGCATCACCATTCACAACATCGTTAGAATAGTTACATAAACGATGATAGTAGTATTTTGTCGGAGGAGGACAACCATAACTACGATTCTTCGTCTCTTGAACGTTCAAAGAAACGGTTTTAGGGAAGGACGAATCCACGACTTTGTCTCCCATAACAACTTGAATCTTTTCCGATGCTTCCTTCACCGCCTTTTCTCGTGAACGTTTACCCGTTAAATTCTTGTACGCGCTAACTCCCAGAATTATAAACAGGTAGCCGAGAGCGAGGCCAATGAGAATTGGCAAAACCAGGATGCCAAAGAGACATAACAAACCCGTGTTGTTAGAAGCAAAACGCGTCATAAAATTACCTGATTGTGGCTTACTGCGAGGATCAAAATCTAAAAAAAAAAAAGAGAGAGAGCAAAAAAGTTTGTGCGTTAAATATACAATGAATATTGGGATTCCCTCAATAATATTTAAATGTCGGTAACCTATATTATATTTCATATTTACAAAGTGTAAAGAGGTTTTTGAAGTTTTTACGGTTTTTGCAAGCTGCTATATATATCGTGATCGGTCAGTTCAACACGAAAATAAATGATATAATCGCACAATAAAATGGCTATTTTATTCCTACTGAGATTATAAATCAAAATATAGTTTATACCCACATTTACCAACCGACGCAACCGAATTTGCAATTCCCGGACCAATTATTTGAAGAGGGCTCGTAAAAAAAAAATCAAAGCGACTGAGAGAAAATTCAAAGGACCTAAAATGACGGATGAAAAGATGACATTGAAACGGTTAACTTAATTCAGTAATGAAATATCTTACCGCGTGTTTTTCTGTTATTGTTTTCTGCTCTGGCCGATTTATAATATCGCTGTGAGCTCGACAGAAGAGGTGCCATGATATTTTCTGGAGTACACACAAGACCAGTCGAGATCAACACGCAGTTTAGCCTCGCACATTGCCAGTATATCGCATATAATTTTAGCCTTTGCGTATAAATTCACTTCTCTCTTATCAATTCATGATCGAATCTCACTCGCATTTTCATAAGACCAATTTTCAGCGGGATGCTTCACAATTTTACAAAATTTACGTTGTCGCATTGTGAATAATCATTTACATTTGCATATGAAAAGATCAACGTGTCTATTTTTGTTAGTTTTTTCGGCCGAGGCAATTGTTTTACAGTTTGCACAGGTGGAATGCGGTCACTCATTGCTACAATAACACGATAGCCAATACAAACACTTGTGAAACTGTATAAATATGTTCATATCAGACCAGGAGATACATGTCAAATGAAATTTTCTACCCTTTTCATTGGAAAATATATTCGAAAGTAAATTGTTAAAATTAATGCTTTGAGCATGCATGCAGGAGAGTTCAATTGCTGTTGCCAAGTTAACAACATACATTAGCTTCGGAAGCTGTCAGATATAAAGGAAAAAAAACAGCCCGAACTAACACAAATTTCTGTCTCAACTTTTAATTTCACCTTCTGGGAAGACCTTTAAAAACACTCTCCTCCCATGTCCTCCGACTAGTATTGGAAAGAATGATAGAAATTAAGTGTGTGCCAGGATGGCTTCGTAAGTCATATTTCCTCAACGTGTATTTTTAACCGTTCTTTCGATAACAAAATATTATTCTTAACTCTTTCTGCCACTAAAGCGTTATTTCTATTAGCGCCATCTACCATTCGCTAACTTCATAAAATCCACTTTGGCGCCAAAATCGAGTAACTCACTATGATTGGTCAGTATGTAGTGAAATGTTTTGGCAGTGGCAGACAGACTTGCTACACTGCTTCAAATCGAGACTGCTACAGCTGATTTCGAGAGCTCAGTGAGACAAAATTATTTTCTCCGCTTAATATTTCATCTTTGAACTATGCCGCATTTGGGCTCAAGTTCATTTGGAAAGCATTCATTCCTTACTTCAACCATCAAAACTATGACAACGCTTGTATGAAAAAAAGGTCTTAGAGTATTTTCAATAACTGTTTGTTGAGAGTCAAAGATTGGCGTCGACTTCATAAATTAAGGAAACTTTCCTCTATAAACTTAAATGCAGCACTTCATATAGTATCATTAATAATTCCCGCACAAAACGAACAAAGGCCAAGCAACAAAACGATTAGAGATCAGTAATACATTACTTTAGTGTCTATTTGAATTGTTACTCAAAGTCTCAAGTAAATATCTGTTTATGACTTCGGAACTATCACAAACCATCTCCTAAAAGCTGGTTTTCAGCGTATCAAGAGAGGAAAGTAAAGAATTAAAATTGGTTTTATGGTTTAACGCCATATTTCTTTGTTTAGAACTAAATTGGTCGCCGCTGCAATGGTTCTGCAAAACTCTCTGCAAAACAATTATCGCTAACTAAATCAAGCGTTCTAGAATTAGCTTTAGCTTGCTAAATCAAGCGTTTCTTACCCTTAAAAGTAGGTAGCGTCATGCTTGGGGAATCTAGAGATTGCCGCCATTTCATCATGGCGTCCAAACAAAGGAATCGATCCTCTTCCACAAGAAGTGACGTCATCATGGCCACCGGCAGTGATCTGCGGGTCCTGTCGCTTTCATCTCAAGCGCAGGAACGTAGCATGTTACAAATATGTTATAAAAGTGCACTGAAATGCGCCAATACGATGTGGAGGGTATTTCCAAGATTTACAAAGCGAATAGAAACCGGTGCTACATGAACTAACCTAAAAAGCTTTAATAACACAGACTTTACATATTACACGCTGAGAGAGTTGAGAGCAACCGCACTGAGACACATACAAATGCCTTTAGACTTAATATACAGTCTAAGTTAGTCACTATCATAAAACGTACGGAAAACTCTGCGCCTAGGGTCCAATTTCCTCGAGGTGTTAAACATGATCTTCTTTGGCTCTCATATTTAAAAACGCATGAAGCGTGCTACCGAAAAAAAAGCAAACTTCAAATCACCACTTAAACAATTGAACAGAGACAGGTGGATCTATTTATTTCATTTACACTTGCTTGTGATGAAAGATCACACGATTTCTGTCTCTTGAATTTCAATTATCTTCGAAAGAGACACTACTAGCAAAATCGGGGACAAGCGTCTCTGTANCCCGCGCTTAACACGGATTCCATATTTCCAGCGTACGCCACCAGTTTGCGAGTCTTCCCGCCATTACGTGCCACCACTTCTTCGTTTGCCTGCGCTTGTTCCTGGCCCATACTTCCCACTTTTGCACCAGTTAGACGTCTTCCTGTGCTTGCCATTGGTTACAAGTTGTGATCAGTTTATCTCCTTACTTGTGGCTGCAGGTATTGATCAGTTTGCGACAGTTGATACAGAATTAAACTGCTATAAACGAGCGAAATAGAGGCATACCTGTCGAAGTTAATCACCTTTTTCGTAAGGAAAAAAACTACAGCCTAACTAATCAGTTATAAGACAATTCTCGTAAGAACAATTGAATTGCCCTTTTCAAACATGAATTCTCAGTACAGATCTTTGTGCAGTTTGTGCCATTTTTCAATGTGTCTGCTCGGTGATTCAATCATTGACTTCCACTGCTCCTGCCCAGAATCAAACGAATCAAATCCAAGAATAACCGTTCCCAATCCCCCACCGCCAACGTTGATCTCGGAATGATTGACAATCTTGAGCACTACGGTAGTAAGAGATATCTGGTCAGCGGACACATTGAAGTTGAACTTTTCATTGAACACCGGATTAAGGCTGCGTCTTTTGACACGTGTGTTGGCTTTGGATAAGCGGACGCCATCACAGTACAGGGCGAGCTTAACGTAAGGGTCTGCAGAAGGAAAAGCATTCAAAGTTAAGTTGGCTCTCACTTATTGCACAACCATACCAACTTTTCCTATGAACATTGGCACTGGATTGTAAAATGGAGAAAGTCTGCAATTCGTTATCGATCGTTATGTGACTTGTATTTTTCACCATTTATTGATTGGGGAGTTATAAGTTATCTTATTCTACATGTAGTTTTACTTTTATTTTTATTCTGTTTTTGCTTTTTGAAATCAATGCCTTCGTAGGTGCCCGCAGTAACTTACCTGTGCGGTCAGCCGTTGCCTTTGGTAAGCCGCGAATCTTCGTGACTGTTACAATGAGTCGGCCGCTGATTGGTCGAAAGCATAAAGAAACACAAAGCTCTCCAAGGTCGTCTGCCTCCATCTTGAAATTTAAGAGAATAAAGATGTGGGTTTGTGAGATTAATATCAAATTTAAGAAATGATTTCCGACGAAAAATTTTGAAAAAAAAAAAAAAAAAAAAAACGTAAAGAATCTGAAGGACCATTTACCGCGTTTGTCAAAGGTCCCAGGCGCGAAATTCAATAATTTTCGTATTTTACAAAATGGTTTTAACTTACTTTAAGAGCAATCTCTGTTTTTCTGTAAAGATCTACGAACGAGAGGCAACAGGCAATTAACAGAAAAAGCTGACTACGGTAAAACAAGACGGAACACAAGGAAACCGACTCGTCCCCAGTTTTTGCACGGCCGAATTTCTTCGGCTGGCAGTCTTAGTGTGAATGTCACCGATAAATCATCCCCTTATTGAACAAAACTTAAATTGAAACGGACGAAGATAAGTTTTGACAATAATTTGATAAACAAAGCGTAACTGAAATGGCCACAAGACAGTTTCTTCCTAATAGTTCGCATACCCAAAAGGATAGAGAAGCATTGAGAGGTAAGCCTCTGCCCTTCCCTCGACCGTCCTTTCTCAACATTTTGAGCCTTGCATTCTCAGACCCTTGCTGCAGTGTGATCTAGTCAACTTACCCCGTAGGGATGCGGAGGTGCAAGATACAGCCATTTGGTGATTGAGAACGAGGCTCTGTTTTCCATCAACTTCAACTCTGACAAGGGGAAAAGGATCTCTCCTATGACGTCATCACCATAACGGTCTTTCAATTTGTCGTGAAAATTCACCACCCTGAACTTAAGCTCGTATTCTTTGATTCTGTCTTTTGAGAAACCTGAGATGACAAATGTCTCGTTAAAAACAGGGTCTGGTGTTCCTTCGATGATCTTGGTGCGTTGCCAACAGTATTGCTGCGGGAGCAGGGATATCTTCACCAAAGGGTTGATACCTTCCTTATTGTCAGCTATGGGAAGATCGACCGCTTTTATGATGTTCACTTGCAGTTCTGTCTTAGCGACATTGTAGTGAAGCGCGAAACGAATCTTTCCAAGTTTGCCATCTGTATTGTCAGGCGAAGGTGTTCTGTCTTCACCTATGAAGCCAACTTCATTTAAGTTTATCTCCCTTGAATTGCTTTCTGGTAAATCTAATCTCTTCTTTTCAGGCGTCGCTGGAATATTAGCGCCAGAATTTGCTTTCTTTCTTTTCGCAGGGCTGTTTTCATCCCCAGAAACGCCAGAATCCTTGTCTTGTGTAAAACTTTTCTCTTCTCTGTCGACCTCCTCTTCAGTCTTATCCAAATTATCCTCAAGTGACGCATGCGTACTAGAGTTAGAGTCTTCAACATCCGGGGCACTCACTGGAGATTTCTCACGTGACCTGCTATCTGTCTCTTCCCCGGATAGGGAGCTTTCGTCAATGTAGGTTTTTGCATCACCATTCGCAACATCGTTAGAATAGTTACATAAACGATGATAGTAGTATTTTGTCGGAGGAGGACAACCATAACTACGATTCTTCGTCTCTTGAACGTTCAAAGAAACGGTTTTAGGGAAGGACGAATCCACGACTTTGTCTCCCATAACAACTTGAATCTTTTCCGATGCTTCCTTCACCGCCTTTTCTCGTGAACGTTTACCCGTTAAATTCTTGTACGCGCTAACTCCCAGAATTATAAACAGGTAGCCGAGAGCGAGGCCAATGAGAATTGGCAAAACCAGGATGCCAAAGAGACATAACAAACCCGTGTTGTTAGAAGCAAAACGCGTCATAAAATTACCTGATTGTGGCTTACTGCGAGGATCAAAATCTAAAAAAAAAAAGAGAGAGCAGAAAAGTTTGTGCGTTAAATATACAATGAATATTGGGATTCCCTCAATAATATTTAAATGTCGGTAACCTATATTATATTTCATATTTACAAAGTGTAAAGAGGTTTTTGAAGTTTTTACGGTTTTTGCAAGCTGCTATATATATCGTGATCGGTCAGTTCAACACGAAAATAAATGATATAATCGCACAATAAAATGGCTATTTTATTCCTACTGAGATTATAAATCAAAATATAGTTTATACCCACATTTACCAACCGACGCAACCGAATTTGCAATTCCCGGACCAATTATTTGAAGAGGGCTCGTAAAAAAAAAATCAAAGCGACTGAGAGAAAATTCAAAGGACCTAAAATGACGGATGAAAAGATGACATTGAAACGGTTAACTTAATTCAGTAATGAAATATCTTACCGCGTGTTTTTCTGTTATTGTTTTCTGCTCTGGCCGATTTATAATATCGCTGTGAGCTCGACAGAAGAGGTGCCATGATATTTTCTGGAGTACACACAAGACCAGTCGAGATCAACACGCAGTTTAGCCTCGCACATTGCCAGTATATCGCATATAATTTTAGCCTTTGCGTATAAATTCACTTCTCTCTTATCAATTCATGATCGAATCTCACTCGCATTTTCATAAGACCAATTTTCAGCGGGATGCTTCACAATTTTACAAAATTTACGTTGTCGCATTGTGAATAATCATTTACATTTGCATATGAAAAGATCAACGTGTCTATTTTTGTTAGTTTTTTCGGCCGAGGCAATTGTTTTACAGTTTGCACAGGTGGAATGCGGTCACTCATTGCTACAATAACACGATAG